TACGGATTGGCCTTCCTATTTCGATTTGTTTCGATCATTAGTCCATTTAAACAGTGCCTACACAGAGGCGGAAAAATTCCGTTACTTATTACTTACGGTACACAACGAACCCCACAATTTAATTAAATCTATCCCTATTACAGACGAGAACTATTCGGTAGCTTTAAATATTTTGATATCTCGTTATGAGAATAAAAGAGTTATTGCCTCAAAACACCTTGACAGAATTCTCGACATCGAACAGTGTTCCGATAGATCGTCTCAAAGTATACGTAATTTATTAAATGTCTACCAAGAAAACATTAAAGCACTGGAGATTATGCACTTTCCCGTAAGCGAATGGAGTTTTTTGTTACTTAGCATTTTGTTACGAAAAATACCTATTAACACTCGTAAATCTTATGAACGTTCTTTAACTAATTCGTCCGACATTCCAAACGTTAGCACATTGATTTGTTTCTTAGAACGCGAAATATCAGCTGAGGAAATTATCTGTTCGACTAACAGCGGACAGTACAATAAATTATCTAGTGTGGCTAATGTGAATATGCGCCACCGTCACAATAATCGCGTAGAAAACCAGTTGCAGCAACGGCAACTTCGTTCGTTTGCTGCTAATGTCACACCAGTTTCAAAACCGTCGAATGATAATCGGTCTTATGAACAGAATCATAAGAATAGAAATTGCTTATGTTGTAATGCTCAACATACGTTGACAAAGTGTTCGCAATTTTTAAACTTATCCCCTCAAGATAGATTTGCTTTAGTTCGTAAGAAAAATATTTGTTATAATTGTTTGCATTTTGGGCATGATGTGAATCAATGCAATTCTAGTTTTGTCTGTCGTACATGTCATAAGCGACATCACACATTAATTCACTTTTCAAGTAAATCGTTACCGATTACTGATAATAAAATATCTGCAAATAATGCAGTCTCGCTCCCACCTTCAGTGGTAGCTGAGATGCCTGTAACCGCTACCACGAATGATCCGCAGTGCGTTGCTCCCGCCGGTGAGAACGTGATTCATAATTGTTGCGCGTCCAATGCCGCGTTCGCTCGTACGACTACGGTGCTATTGTCTACGGCACTCGTCGACGTATGCATAGGTGCGGTGAAAATAGCGACCGTTCGCTGCATTATAGACACTGGAAGTCAGGCGAGTTTTATCACTGAGGCGTGTGCGCAGCGTCTGGGTTTGATGCGCGGGCATGTTAATGTTTCTGTGTTCGGTATAGGCAATAGTGAAGCGGCGCGTAGCAAAGGATTTATAAATTGTAATATCGCGCCTAAGGGTAGATTAGAACCCTTAGTTCCGGTAAATCTTTTAATTTTAAACAAATTAATTTCACAAATGCCGAGTATGCAGTTACCGTACACTGGTTGGCCTCATATAAAAGATTTAAATTTAGCGGATCCCGCTTTTCATACGCCACAGCCAGTGGACCTGTTATTAGGAGCGGATATACTATCCCATGTGCTTTTGAGTGACGTCATTACGGGCTTACCAGGTTCACCGATAGCAGTAAATAGTATATTCGGTTATTTATTGTTAGGTAAACTAGATATTGTTTCCTCTCCGTCTCAACTTCAAGTTTGTTTTAGTTCATTTGACAATGACAACCTTCAGAGATTTTGGGAATTAGAGTCACTTCCTGAAAAACGGAGTTACACTCCTGATGAAGAAATATGCGAATCCTTTTTTCAAAAGACGCATATACGTGACGCAACGGGGCGATACGTGGTCGCTTTGCCTTTTAAGCCGGAGGCTCCCCCTCTAGGCGAATCCCGTCAAACTGCACTTGCGCGCTTTCGTAAGTTAGAGTTTCGTCTCGAGCGAAACCCGAAGCTTAAGGAAGACTATCATGCCTGTCTCCAAGAGTATCTGGATATGAAGCACATGGAGCCCGTTAAGGGCGAGCCGACATCAGGGGCCACTTATTATATTCCGCATCATTGCGTGGTCAAAGAATCCAGTGAGACCACTCGCACTCGAGTAGTTTACGACGCCGGGTGTAAAACTTCTAGTGGCTACTCATTGAATGACATTTTGTTGACAGGTCCTAAACTTCATTTAGATATAGTTAATGTTATTTTAAAATTTCGTATTCATTCAGTGGCCTTCACTGCTGACATCAAACAAATGTTTAGGAATATTTTAGTTCGAAAGGAAGATAGGGATTTTCAGCGCATTTTATGGCGGAAGTCGCCTGATGAGGTTATCCGTGATTATCGTCTTTCTACAGTCACATTTGGAGTGAATTGCTCTCCATATCTGGCTCTCCGAACTATCCAGCAATTGGCTATAGATGAGGCTTCACGATTCAAACTTGCTTCTAAGGTTTTATTAAATGATGTTTTCGTAGATGACGTCACTTCCGGTGCCTCTACTGTTCATGAAGCTTTAGTAGTTCAACAAGAGCTTATTAATATTTGTAAGACGGCGGGTTTCGAGCTTCGAAAGTGGCATAGTAATTCACCAGAGGTACTTGCTGCAGTAATTCCCCCAGATTCTCATGGTGAGCGGCTCGATGAAGTCCGATTCGCCGAAATGGAACACGATGAACAGGTCAAGGTCCTTGGACTTCAATGGAACCCTATTTCCGACTGTTTCAATTTTAATGTCAAAATATCACCTTGCTTAAGCACCAAGCGCGCTATTCTTTCCGAGATAGCTAAAATATACGATCCATTGGGCCTTTTAGCGCCAGTTACTTTATATGCCAAACATTTGATCCAACTTTTGTGGATAGCCAATATAGGTTGGGATGAAGCACCGCCGATTGATATTGTTAATTCATGGAAATCATTTAGTAGTCAGTTACCATTTATTTCGAATGTGTCGTTCCCAAGGCACATTTTTTCTGATTTAGGATCTGTTCAGATTCATGGCTTTGCCGATGCTTCAGAAAAGGCTTTTGCCGCCTGTGTATACATACGCCTTACGGGCAAAGACGGGCATGTTCGTACTTCGCTTATTATAGCCAAAACTCGAGTCGCTCCACTTCGTATGCGTCTTACTATTCCCCGTCTCGAACTTATGGCAGCCCTATTGTTGTCAAAACTACTACAGCAGGTGTTAGTTACCTACTCAGATTACGTCAAGGGTGATCAAGTTTACGCTTGGTCTGATGCATCCATAGTGTTAGCGTGGTTACGTTCGCCACCACATGAATGGAAAACATTTGTTTCTAATCGCACTAGCGAGATTCTTTCACGCGTTCCCGTTAACTGCTGGCGACATGTACCGTCGACCGATAACCCTGCTGATGCTGCGTCTCGTGGTATGCTACCTGGCGTATTTATAGAACATGATTTGTGGTTCCAAGGTCCAAGTTGGCTCCGACAGGACGAAGCTTGCTGGCCGGAATCAAAGTCTTACTATACAACGGAAGAGGAAAAGCGTCTCAATATTAATTTGATTAACACTAATTTAACTACACTGGATCCCTTACCGGATGTAGAGATAATTTCTCGATTTTCTACGTTAGGAAAACTTGTTCGCGTTACTGCAATAATATTTAGATTTTATTTCAAATGTAAAAAACACATTAAATCTTGCCCTAATTATATAACTGTGCCGGAATATAATTTTTCCTTAAAAAAACTTATTTATTTAGTGCAACATAGTGTGTTCAGTAATGACATTGAAAACATTTCAAAGGGTAAATTGCCTTCAAATCAATTACGTCGTTTAACGCCATTTCTGGATGAAAATCAATTTTTACGTGTGGGAGGCAGAATTCATAAGTCTCTTTTACCATTTGAATCAAAGCATCAATTAATTTTACCGAAAAAACATACTTTAACCAATCTCATTATTGACGATGCGCATATAAAGTATTTACATGCCGGCCCACAAACAGTCCAATACTTATTATTACAACGTTTTTGGATACTTTCTTGTCGCGATATCGTGCGCCAGCGCATACATCGCTGTGTTATTTGTTTTCGCTCTCGTCCTAAGTCTAATCAGCCACGTATGGCACCGTTACCTGCTACTCGTTTACGTCCCTCGCGACCCTTTATTAAGACCGCCGTAGATTACGCGGGTCCTTTTTACGTACGTGCAAATAAGGTGCGCAATGCTAAAGTTGTGAAATGTTACGTTGCAGTTTTTGTATGTATGAGCGTTAAGGCCATACATTTAGAGCTTGTGTCCGAGCTTTCCACGGAAGCTTTTCTCGCGGCTTTGCGGCGTTTCACATCCCGTCGAGGTTTATGTACTGATATTTTTTCGGACTGTGGGAAGAACTTTGTCGGATGTAATAATTATTTAAGGGATTTGTTCGCGTTCTTAAACAGCGACTCTGTACAGGCTAATTTAAATCGAGAGACACTTAAACAAGGCCTAACGTGGCACTTTCAGCCACCATACGCAAGTCATTTCGGTGGGCTATTCGAGGCGGGTGTCAAAAGTTTTAAGCATCATCTACATCGTGTTATTGGCACTCGTACTCAAACATATGACGAGATGCATACCCTCCTATGTCAAATAGAGGCTATACTGAACTCGCGTCCACTCTGTGCAATCAGTGCTTCGCCTGATCCGCTTCCTTTAACTCCATCACACTTTCTGATAGGAGAACCTTTGATTGCTTTGCCTGATGTTTCTTTGGTGGACGAGAATACTAATCGACTTACGCGTTGGCGCTGGGTACAGCAGTCCGTTCAGCATTTTTGGAAGAGATGGAGTAGAGAGTATCTTCATGAGATTCAGCAAAGTCAAAAATGGTTTGAGACTCGCGGGTCTTCTATTCGTGAGGGTACTATTGTGGTAGTTTGCGATGATCACCTGCCACCATTACAATGGAAACTAGCACGTGTCCATGCTCTACATCCAGGTTCGGATAATGTTACTCGTGTGGTGACTTTACAAAGGGGCAATACATTTTACAAGCGACCTGTTGTAAAGGTGTGTCCACTCCCTATCGAATAAACAATTAATCGTTGCATATCGAATCTTAGTTCTAAGTTTTTTTTTTATATTTTATTTTGTTCTAAATTTAATATTCAATTTGTTCATTTAATGTTAAAGGCACGTTCCTTTAAGGTGAGCGGCATGTTCCGTAACGAAACAGATCATTGATAATTGGCTATACAAAGACAACACAACTGTGGGTAAAATTTTTATTGTCTATGGGCAAGGCGATTAGCTGTCTTCGTTCCAAATCCCCACCCTTAATCCTTGGGTGACGGTTTACTACTGTGATTTCAAATTGTTAACTGCGCGCACCTAATTTTGATTGAGCTTGGTGAATTGTTCGTTATCGAGAATAAGGACATTTCGGAAGAACGGTGGATCAGTGCCTATGGACTATATATCGTGTATGATATATTCGCTGGTAACCGCGTCGACGCACCCCGTTCCAGAACCCAGCCCTCGGAAACCGTGGCGGTAAAGGATCGCTTGCGGTGAGTCGCCAACCCCTGCTTAATATCGTACACCTTCCTTCCCATACCACTCCAAACCCCGATCTCGTGCGACGGATAGGGGCAGAGCTGTGGGGCTCCAAAGTTTGGGGGGTCACTTCACCCCCCTTTTTTGAGGGGCTGTAGCTCGGGCAGCTTTTGTCGTAGGAGAACGGGATTTTCCGTATATACCACCCCCTGCCAAGCTCTACCAGACCCGTAGGGCAAAATTGCCCTAGCTCAAGGTCCCGGGGCAAACTCATCTGACCCCGGAAATAGGTGCGGCAGGATTCCCTCTATCCAATACCAAAAAGTCCCAGTTCCACAGGGTCAATAGTTTCGGAGATATCGGCACTCGTCCCATTCGGGCCGAGTTTTTTGCCGATTTTCAAAGGGGTATATCTCCGAAACTACTCATCGCAGCGGGGCAAGATAGGTATCAAATAACGGGGCTTTAAAAGCTCTAGTGGACGGCGCGAGACGCAATTTGATAGACTCCGGACTTACCGGAAAAAATCCGGAAAACGTGGGAAAAGCTATAACTTTAAGGATTTTTAATCTAAAAATTACTAAGGGTAAAGCAGGACAAGACAATAAAGATTTACAACTAGAATCATCGTTTTTGCTTTATTTGACTATAAATTTTTTGACTTTATTTATTTTACCCCTTTTTTAAACTTTTCCCAAAAATTCTTATACTGACCTAATATATTTAAGTTCTTTTGACATCGTACCCTATTGGGGCGAGTCCTAGTACATAAGTTTTCAACATTGACGCATAGAGCTAGGCTCTGCGATATACAAACATAACATATAACAAATAACAAACACCCAAGCAAGTTACGAATAAATAATAACATTAACACTTACATACACAACGAAGAGAAGACTCGCAGTAGATCTGCCGACTGGACAGCAACATCTGAAACAAACACATACATTAACACATATACAAAAAACACAAAACACAATAATTATTATTAAGACAGGAGACTTACCCCCACTAAGTAATAAATTAAGAGATTCTGAAATAGAGAACGGAATCAAAAATGTTGCGATCACCGAAACCAACACAGAGGCAATCGGGTAGCCAAATACCGACTCCATCCCCCCGAATGAGTTTGGAAAGCAACCCGAAAACACCGAAAAAGCAAACGGGAATGGGACCACAGGAGTGGGGCCCAGACATGGAAAGGTTCTGGGGGGACTTAACAACGATTGCAAATAGAATAGCGAAAGTCCTAGAAGTTCTAGAAACACAACCTACATTGCGAAAAGACTCTAAGGACAAATTGATACAAACCTTAAAGAAGACCAAGGAAAAGGCAAAAGGAATGGAAACAACAGCCGAAGAAATTCGAACATATATAGAGGAGCAAGAGATAAGGTTTGATAGATTAAAAAGAGAGAACGAAGAATTACTAAAGGAGGGAAAAATAATGGAAAGACTCAGTGGTTTCGAAATAGATCTCAACAGAAAGCAGGACAATACACTAGCAAAAATAGAAAAGACGATGGAAGAATGGGATGAAAGAGAAAGGAAGAGAATGCAAGAAAAAGAACAATATACAGTAGACTTCAAAACACACAGAGAAATAGAGGAAAAGGTAGAAACACCAAGTCGGATAATGAAAAAACTAGAGAGTATTGAAGACAACCTGACAGCAGAGATTATAGATGTGGGAAGAAGAATGAGAGAAAAGGCTGAAGATAGCGAAATTACTATAGAAAGGATAATAGAAGGAAAAATGAACGAAGTCGAAAAAGCGCTGAGAAATAAAACAGACACGGGGGGATATAACATTAGCCCAGACGAAACAATAAAAACGATAGAGGCAACAAGGGATTTCTTAAACAACAGAATCACCCATGCACGAGAAGAAACAATATCTGAAGTAAGAACAAGAACAGAATCCCTGACAAAGAAATTAGTAGAAATAGGAAATACAAAAGAGAGAACAGTAACAGAACACACAGACACAAAGACCACATATGCTGAGGTACTAAGGGAACGCAAAACTAGAGTCCCGAAAACCCTCCACTCTATTATAATATCGTCTGACAATTACATGGATACGGCTGAAGATGTCCTAAATAAAGCCAAAGAAAGAATCGAAGCAAAAAAGGAAGGACTGAGAATAGACAGAATTAGAAAATGTAAAGACGCGAGGATAATAATAGGGTGCGAAACGACAGAACAGATAAACAAAATAGAGGATAAAATTAAACACAGCAAAGGACTAAAGGTGGAAAAAATCACAAACAAAGACCCACTGGTTATAATAAAAGACATATTCAACGGAATAGAAGACGAAGAGATGCTAAAAGCAGTTAAAGATCAAAACAGCAGTATATTCCAAGGGCTTAACGAAGAAGAAACAAAAATGAGAATTAAATTTAAAAAGAGCGCAAGAAACAGAAACACCACCCATGTAGCCTTGCAAATTAAACCAGTGCTTTGGCAAAGAATGACCGGGGCGGGATACCTCCACATAGACCTTCAAAGGGTTAGGGTGGAGGACCAGTCCCCGGTCATTCAATGCACAAAGTGCTTAGAGTTCGGACATGGGAGAAAATTTTGTACTGAGAGCGCGGACAGATGTAGCCATTGCGGGGGATCTCATCACCGAACGGATTGCCCGGACAGGGATGAAAAACCTCCGAGATGTCACAACTGCTCGCGCTCAGAACTGCAGGATACCTCCCACAACACCTTTGCCAGGGAATGCCCAGTCAGAGCCAAATGGGATTTCCTGGCAAGAGCCACGACAGCATATACATAATTGGAGCAATACACAAAACAACACAACACACAAACAAACAATATACCACAAACAGGAAAGTAGACAAACAATACAAAACATATACAAAAACTCACACACGAACAAAAAACAAAATAGAAATAGGATATCATGTAAAAGAATCTTGACGAATCATTTACATGAAATCAAGTTAGACAAAAACACAAAAGAATGGTTTGAACCTAGATGGACTAGGAATCAAATCATTATAGAACAAGAAATATGAATAAAAACAAGGATAAGTCTAGAACACCTCTATATATTTGATTATATATAAAGGTGACTAGAAAATAAATAGAAGGTATAAACAAATAGAATAGCATCAAAACAAGTAATAGGAATTTAAAATAGGATACATATTACATAAAAACAACATGCGTAAATAAACCATAGAATAATATACAGCCCTATGAAATATAAATAAAATTAAACATATGTATAAAATAAGCAAACGAAAACACAAAAGTATTCCGAAAATACCAGTGTAACATAGAAATATAAACAGTACGAAACTGATAAATGTAGTACATAGAATATATAAGAAATGTATAAAATAATATTTAAGCAGTAAAATGTTAAACTTAAACAACAAAAGTAGAAGATAAGATAAAAAATTAGTGTAAGAAACAAATGTACATTAGCAGTAAAACATGTAATAGAATAAAAAGTAGCAACTAAGAATAATGTAAACAATAGTGAAACTAATGTAATAGATATAACAGAATATAAATAGCATTATATAGAAGAACATAATAGATAAGTAAACAATGTAAAGTAAAGAAAACACCATAAGTCTAAATACCTTGGAATATAATGAGAATGTAGTAACAAGAATAATGTAAACAATAGTAAAACCAAACTGTAATAGATACAATAGGAAATAAATAGCATTATATAAAAGAACATAGTGGATAAGTAAAGAATGTAAAATAAAGAAAACATAAGAGTCTAACTACCCTAGAATAAATAAATAAATAAATAAATAAAGAATAAAAGTATAGAATAGAATAGAGTAGGCGGGAAATCCCACCCGTTAATGTGTGAAAGATGATGGATGAATGTGTCGTATGCGGTATGTAAGTACGAGAGGCATACCAGCGAGAACTTGAATGAATGAGAACTATAGCTAGAAAAAGGGCCTGCTACTAAGTGGGGGAAAGCGGGATTAAAAAAAAAAAAAAAAAAAAAAAATCTTCACTTTGATCTACAGGTGAAAGGTCAGATATCGACTCTTTTGGCAGCCTACTCAGAGCACTAGATTTGTTGGAAATCCAACCACGCATTTCAAAACCTCCGCGCTTATGAATTTCCAAAATTTCGGCTGCCAAGCGTGCCGCCTGGTCTGAATCGTCTACACTTCCGATAAAATCATCCATGTAGGTATCTCTCGCGATTGCGTGCACTGCCTCTGGAAATTCATCTTGGAATTCTGATGCGTTTCGATTCATTATATAAATAGCCGTAGAAGGACTAGAACATGCACCAAATATCATCGAAGACATACGGTAAATTTTAATTGGTCCTGTAGGCTCATTCCGCCATAGAAAACGTTGCGCGTCCCGATCCTGTTCCTGGATTTTTACCTGCGGGAACATTTCCTTAATGTCTGCGGTCAAAGCTACCTTTCCCTCCCTAAAACGCATCAAAATTCCTAAAAGAGACTGTAAAAAATCAGGGCCTGGCAAAAGTAATGAGTTAAGAGATACACCACGTATTTGAGCGGCTGCATCATGTACGACTCGAAGTTTCGCAGGTTTGTTGGGGTTTACCACACCAAAATGTGGTAAATACCAACAAACTGCTTTTGGTGACAACTCTGTGCACTCCTCGGCGTATCCTTTATCTAATATGTCCTGAATATTGACGCGGTACTTCTGTGCGTATTCAGGATCCTTTGACATCTTCCGCTCGAGATTTTTATACCTAGACAATGCCAAAGGATAACTGTTGGGTACTAATGTATTATCCGTTTTCCACAGTAAGCCAACCTGGAAGCGCCCACTAGGTAAACGTTGAGCTGTTTGTTGCAGAATACCAAGAGCGCGTTCGTCATCTGCACTTTTAAGTTCGTGTTTAGAAATACCGATTGCGTCTAGCCTATATTGTTCCCTGATGAGGGCTTCCAGATCATGTTGTGGATTTTGACGCTCCCGTAAAGAAACGTGGTAGACAGAGCTTACTGACTTGGTTCTGCTACTAAAAAAACCGAATAAGACCCACCCTAAGGGGGTATTAATAGCGACAGGTTGCGATTTAGTGCCTTTCCTAATATGTGAGGCAGTAATTAAGTGCCAGTTGTCTACGCCTATAAGAAGTGTAGGCTTAGCTTCATTATAACACAGTTCTTGAACTAAGTCCGATAAATATGAGTAAGTACGCAAACTGTCACGAGTAACTGATTGACTAAGTAGCCCTAAATTTTCAATAGATCGGGCTCCGTTAATAGAAAATGTCTGTGAACAAGCACGACCTTTAATTTTAAAATCGACATACTTTACCGAACTATTTTTAGATAAACCTCCTATACAGTCCAAGTGTACATGCCCTCTGGGGCCCTCAGCCCCTATCTGTGAGGCGATGTCAGAATCTATAAACGTAGCTGTGGACCCGTCGTCCAGGAGTGCAAATGTGTCCACGGCTCCAGTGGGTCCAGAAACTGTGACTGCGACTATTTTTAATAGTGGACGGCGTGACAGGTCTTCTAGTGTGGCAGTTGTGTTTATAGTAACTTGTTCAGGAAGATTAGATGTCGTCGGCACAGTCGTAGTATGATCGTTTATCGAAGGAACTAAATTAAAATTATGTAACATTGTATGATGCTTTAATTTGCAAGTCGCAACAGTGCAACCGGCCTTATTTTTATAACAAAATTTAAAACTATGCGGTACTTTTTGGAGACATCGATGACAAATTTTGTTTTCTTTTACAAAACTCCACCTGTCATCAATCGTCATAGATTCAAATTTTTGACAGTTTATTAAAAAATGTTTTTCATGGCAAAGCAAACAAGAAATATTTTTATGATTTTCGATGTTATTCACAGGGAATTTAGAGGAGTGTGATCTAAAGGTTTTTGGTATTGCTCCCGTGGTAGACTCTGAGGTCATATGCGCTCGATGTTGATGTACCGGGGAAGCTGAAGCTGTCTCGGTTAGCACGCCGAACTTCATCGTGAGATCTACCTCGCGATTTAGAAAGTGCGAGAACATTTCAACCCTTGTCTGACCTAAAGATTCATGATTTGCAGCATAATCTAACCACCGAGTGCGTAATAGTGGAGAAAGTTTGCTAAGCAATGCACTGAACAATTCCGGTGATCGTAAATAATCGCTGTATTCTAATAGCTTAGCAACTTCAACACAATTACGCACACGAGTGGCGAAAACGTTCAAATCTCTTACCTCTGACCCGAGCTTAGGTAATGCTCGTACTGAATTTACCTCCTGCAACACTATTAGTTCTGGTCTGCCAAAGCGACGGTCGAGGACGTCTATGACGTCATTAGGTTGACGAGCCATCACTAACAGCATGCTCACTGACTCGCGTGCCGCACCTTTTAATGCTTGATTCAATCGCGCAAGATTTTCAGTGTGAGAAAAATTACCTACAGTATCCTGAAAAGCTCTTTTAAACATTAGCCAGTCCAACGGCGACTTGCCGTCGAACGAAGGGAGGGTTAATACGCTTTTATTTGTAATAGGAGCATTTTTAAAATTTAGTAAGGCTTCTACGAGCTGTGTGACGCCAATTGAGTCGTTGTTGTTCTTCATAATAGTAGCAGCGACCCTATCACCCCTGTCAACATAAGGCAGAGATGACGGCGTGGGATGCGGTGCTTCATTATGAGAAACGACGTCGTCACGACTTTTTTCGAAGATCTGCGGAAAATCAGAAACATGATTAGTAGGCCCTTCCTGACAATTACTGTTTGCCATTTGACTGCGAACCCATTCCTCAGTCCGACTGCGAGAGCCGCGTTCACTAGCATCGGCTTCGATAGCAGCGAGCTCAGCCCTGTACTGGGCCTCCACAGCTTTGCGTTGTGCTTCCGCAGCTATGCGTTCTGCTTCTACTCGCTTGGCCTCCAAAACTGCGAGGTCACGTGCGTAAGACGCTTCTGCTGCGAGTTTTCTCGCAGTAACCATCGCGGAGGAACGGCTTGTATGTGAAGCAGCAGTGTGTGAAAATATTTGTGAGCAAGTATCAAAAGACTGTACCTGTGTGTGGGTATGCCCGCGGGTAGTGGATGCAGGGGATGTTGAACCCACCTGACTACCCGATTGTGCGGGTGTAGTGTCCTCACTTTGGTTCGTAAGCTTTACTTGTGACCTTGTCACTACCATTTTCACTGAAAATAAGAGGGCTGAAAGAAAACTTCGATATTCACTGGTATAAACTGGAGAAGGACCACATATAACGGACCTAAACTTATATAATTAAAAGGTCCAGTTATTATGAATTATTTTTATTTTATATATGATAATTTTAGAATGTACAAGCAAAGTATATAGATGACAAGTTCAACTAAAAACAAAACATATGAATATGAAAAAGACATTTAGACAGTTAATAGAATATCAAAAAATATTACAAAAGAGTTTTTATATATAAAATTATGGTGGATTTGTCCACAATATTACTGATCATCTTTCTACTTATTAGTTGTACAGATTTGTCCAGACTCTAAAGTTGCAAAAAGTTTAAAATGCTCACGTCCAAGAGTGCAGTCTATCGTCGAAAATGTCATCGGTGCAGAGAGTTTCGCAGAACTATGTGAAGATTTGCGTAATATTAAATTCTCGTTGGTTATTGATGAATCAACAGACTTATCAACGACAAAACATCTTTGCATGGTGGCAAGATATGTTAAAAATAATCAAGTACGTGATTCTTTTCTCGCGCTGATTCCCCATTCTTCAGCAGATGCCACCACACTTTATGAAAGCATTGTAAAGTTTTTCATGGACAAAAATATTCCTTATAAAGATAACTTGATTGGATTTGCATCCGATGGTGCAAATATAATGATGGGACAAAGACATTCA